AAGGTTGTTTTGGGGGATAAACTTGATTTTTTGACTCATTTTTAAATTGTATTAGAGTGACTCTAGAGTAGCCGTCAGCAAACTTTTTCTTAAAGAACCACATTGCAAATATTTTAGGCTTTGCAGGCCATGCAGTCTCTGCTGCAGTTCCTCAGTTCTGCTACTCTAGTGCAGGAGCAGCCATAGACAGTATATGATCAAATTATCACAGCTACGTTCCATTAAGACTGAAATACCAAATACAGGCATTAGGCTAGATTTGGCCTATAAGCGATAGTTTGCTGATCCCTGGTCTAGAGAACCATTTACTTTAAGGCTAATTTAGCCTTCCTAACAAGACATGGCCCATTTGGGTACTCTGCTGAATGTTGTAGATGTTCAGGGAGGTTTCTTCACTATGGCTGCTCAAAGCTCAAACATCCCCTAACTCCGTGTGAAGTCTGGTATTTGATAATGTTATTATAGATTGTCAGTAGTTGTACTTCCCCTGTTCATTGTTATTTTCCTGGCCTTGTTTAGTTTAACCCTGTTTATATGTAGTTTATTATAACAACATACAATCAAGGAGACAGACCCCCATGCAGATTCCTGGAGTGCTGCTTTTGCTTTCTCCTGTGGTACTTGGCCCTACAAACTCCAGCTGTAGTACAGATATACTGAACTTGTTCCTGTCTCCTCAGCTTAGTAAGCTATGGTCTGCTTATAGATTCCTGTTTGAATTACCCTTCTTGCTTTGGGGTTCGGAAGTTGCCTCCAAGCAGAAAGCCAGGGTAATTAGAGGACTCACCTTCTTATAAGGATCATAGTCCAATACGGCCTGTTACCCAATGTTGTCTTAAATATTTTGTTCGGTTTTCTAGTTGCTTATAGCAGGACAGCAAATCCATTCTGTTTATTCTGTTCAAGCCATAAATGGAAGTTATTTTTTTAACATATTCATTTCTTTCTCTCTTTTTTAAAAGATTTTATTTACTTATTTGTCAGAGAGAGAGAGAGAGAGAACAAGCAGGCAGAGGCAGAGAGGAAGTAGGCTCCTCTCTGAGCAGGGAGCCTGGTGTGGACTCAATTCCAGGACCCTGGGATCATGACCTGAGCTGAAGGCAGATGCTTAACTGACTCAGCCACCCAGGCCTCCCCACCATATTAATTTCTATAGTAAAATCATTTCACATTCAGAATCATTTCTGTCAGTCTCTAAGAATAAATCCTCCAATTGCAAACTAAGCAAGCTTGCTCAGCGTTGTAACATATTAGTTATAATGGCACTTTTTATAAGCAAGCTAGCAAAGAGAAAATTGTTCCAGTAGATGTTAGTTTTGTTTCAGTATACCTTAGTATAGTATCAATGGCTTCAAGCAAGTTGGTATTATGTTTGTGTATATGTCTTCTGTTTTTATAAAAGACTTACTGCTCTTTTTTCCGTTATTTTAAAAAAAATCTCTCTGTATTAAGAAAATAGTAGGTACATGATTAGCTTAACCCTGAGCAGAGTTTTGCAGCAAAACTGCCAATTTTTTTTTTTTTCCCCCAGTATGTCTAAACTGCCAGTTTTTAAGGTGGAGAGGAAAAAAATAATGAGACTTACTGGCTGGCACTTTTATTTTATTTAGCAAGTAAAAGCAGCCCACTGAGCCAGAACTTAACATACATTAAGGCTATGGCAGACTTTAGCTACAGCTAAGAATTACCAGTGATTCAAAATGTAAACAAGAATCATTAAAAAAAACTGTAGTAATAATCTTGTGCTTATCACTTCTATACCTCTATGCTGAAGTAAAATACCTGGTTTTATTTTTCTAATGCATGCAAAAGTTAATTTATCTTATGCTAATATTTGGCTAAAAGACAGTTTAATCCTAAATCCCTTTAAAAGTTCATGGTCTTAGGACACCTGGGTGGCTCAGTCAGTTAAACAGCTGACTCTTTTGATTTCAGTTCAGGTCATGATCTCAGGGTCTTAGGATAAGGCCCTGTATTGGGCTCCCCACTCAGCAAGGAGTCTGCTTGAGGATTCTCTCTCCCTTTGCCTCTGCCCCAACCCATTTCCGCACCCACTCTGGTATGCACTCACTCTCTCTGTCTCTCTCTCTAAAATAAATAAATCTTTATAAAAAATAAAAGTTCATGGTCTATACAGGGAGGGGCATACTGAGATGTAAAGCTGTTTTTCTTTCATTGTTTGTTACTTTGGATAGTTTTGAGTATTTCAAAGAAACTGGGACACTTGTCAGCTATATATGAGTCCCCCCCCCCCCCAAAAAAAAACAATGCCAGCTGGGCAGTTGTGTTGACTTACTTGTAAATGAAATGTGTATTTCCACAGGAAAAGATATAGAATTAACCCTTTGGTAGCATGTAATATGGTACCATCTTTAATGCCATAATAGTCCTGAGGTTAGAGACAATATTATTCATTTCGGAGAGCTATCAGATATCTTCCTTCTTGGGTTTAGCTTAGTAATTGTGTAAACCTCAAACTCCTCTTATGTGATAATCTAACTAGATTAGATTCTCTTACCTATATTAAGCCCAGTTTTTCATACTGTATGATAATATACCATGCTTTTCTAAGCTTTCCTTCCACCAAGAATTAGAACTATGAATTATAGAGTTCATAAAGTCTGTAACTGGTAGAGGTAGATCCCTCTCTTCTCCGGGATTGAGTCCTTATCTCCACCAGCTTTCTCCACCTTCTTCATTTGTATTAAAGGTGACTAGGACCAAAGTGGCAGAGAGAGTGCCTTAGGCTATAAATTCTCACCACCCTGACATTGTTTGTTCCCACAGCAGAGGGAGCAATTCTCAGTGACTGCAACATCAAATGATGGGTGGCAGTTGCCTTCTTAGATACTGGAGTCATTCCTCAAGCAGAAATTAGATTGATCATTGCTGTTTGTAGCTTCAGTCCTGGATGGTGTTCACGGAAGAATCATTTCTGGGTCCACTGGTGACAGTTGTGATACCACATAGCTTGTTTAAAATTCTTTCTAGAAAGAAATCCACATGGTACCATACCATGCTTCTTTTGTTTTCTGAGGCAGGCATAAAAATTCTGCCTTTTGACCAGCTCAGAGTGAATTATTATATTCCTTAATGATACTCCAAATTCTCTCCAACCAGCTTCTTAATTCCGGTAGCTAAAAGAGTAAATAAATCTCAAATTTATCTCTGTCTACTAACCCCACCCTCAGTCCTATATGGAAGTATTAATTCTACGCTCATTTGGTCCAGAAGTAGCCTGTAATTCCCCAAAGTAAAATATTGAAACTAATTCTATAGTGGGTACTCTTACTTGTGTTACTGTTTTCAAAAATACAGGTGCTGATTTAAGTGAAAACCTCAGCCAGGAACGTATCAGTGTAGGGGAAGAAAGAGTATTCCTTAACTCTCTTAGGGGCCCTGACTGGATCTAAAAAGTATACAAGACAGATTGACAGGAGAAAACCATACAAATTATCTAATAGAAGTTTTACATGTTGTCAGAACCTTCATAAGGAAATGGCGACCCAAATAAACAGACCTTTATATTTTATGCTAGGTGTGATGAAGAGTGGGTTGTGGTGTAGAAATGTGGATAGATTAAGGAGTATGAGGTAATTGTTGAAAGTTGGGAGAAACTTAGCAAGTTCTGTTAAGATTCTTCTTGGAATCCCTTTGTCTTTGGAGATAATGATGCTTCTTTACTCTGGGAATAGGGAAAGCACCTCTCACATGAGGGTTTTATGACCTGTTTCAGGGGAAAAGGATAGAGTGAGTGGGAGGTCAGGGTGACTTTTCCTGCTTCTGCTGTTTTCTCAGACTCCTTTAGCTTAAAATATTCAAATATGTCAAGGTACCATATTTTGGGCTGTGTTTCCTGAACCCCATCATCAGTGATTCCCATGCTTACCCCCAGAAAAAACATCTTTATATTACTTTGTCACACTGCTATGACCATTGATGTTACCTACCATTGACTACATCCAAGGAATATTCGGATTCCCAAAATTTGGGGGATAGTGGAAGAAATTATTTATTTTCTCTTACACCATTAGCAACCAGATGAGCAGTTTTTTAAGTCACTTTACTAGGAATCAAAGGAAAAATTAAAAAATAGGAATGTATAAGTTTGTAGAGCACAGATGTCTTATATGAAGAAACTTAAGTTTAACTCATATTGGCTTTCCTGGCATACAAGTCAATTTTTCTTTTCTTTCTCTATCTCACTTTGTTTTGAAGCCAAAAGACTTCTGTGTACTTCCAAGCTCCAGAGTCCTACTAGACTCCCTGTTTCTAATAGGAAGCGTGTCCCAATTCTTCTTACTTAATTAAACTCAGTCTTATCCATTCCTTTTCCCACCCTTCCTACTCTTTAGAGAAATGTTTTTCCCCCTAAGGCTTAGAATGTAATAGATATGTTAAATAGCTAAATTCTGTTGAAGTAATCACCAAAGTTATTAAAATGCATATACTGAATGATTGAATAATTAAAAGGAAACATAGCCTTTCTTCTGCCAGATGAATAGTCACTTTTTTTTTTTTTTTTTTTTTTTGGGTGGTGGTTTCCTGATACCAGATAGCTCCCCAAAGAGATTATGCCAGAGATGTTGACAACATTTATATCAATTGTATCAATTGTTTCATGAGAGAAAGGGAATGAAGGGAGAGTTTTCTGTGGAAAGGATTATAATAACTTTGTTTTTCTCAAATTACTCTCATTTTTTCATTTTATTTGAACCTTTGTCTCTCTTATTTTCCTTCCAGTGGTAATCTGTTTTTCTTTACATTTGAAATTTTCCTACTCTGTTTTCAATTTTATTTTTCTTGTTCAAACTTAATCGTCAAAATTTGGGATTTTCTTTTAAAATCGGTAGTTAAAACATGTTAAAGTTGGTTCTCCACTTTAGATTCTATTGATGTCTGGGGTGAAATGAGAAATGAAGGATGAAAGGATATTACTCTCTTGGACTGTCTTCCAGGAAATCCTTCTCTATACATTAAAAGTTCTTACTCTTTTCTAGGAGTCCAATGTGCTGATTGCTGCTAACAGTCAGGGTACAATTAAGGTAAGCCATGGTATACATCTTCATTTTAAATTCAGATCCGTTTTTAGACTCTAACAGACTATAACATGGAAATGCAGAGTTGTACTAAGCCTTAGAGATCATTCCACGTCATGGTCTCTGTCCATGTAAAATGGCTTTGAGGGGAGGTTATATGAACATCAGATAGACTGATAGCTGGTCAGAATGAAAAATGGATGAAGACTATTAAGTACTCACTGTGGGCCAAGCACTGCTGCTTCTGTTATGCAGGTGTGTTCAGTGGACAAAATCCAAGATAAAGCATGGGATGCTTAGACATTCACCGGATTTAAAAAGTATCTGGTCTTATTTTACTCTTCTTTTCCTCATGTTTGTCTTCCTTTTCTTCCCTGACAAGTAGGGTTTTCCTCAGTTGCCAAGGGAAGAAAAGGTATTTTAGTGTTTCACTGAAAATTGATCATGTGATCATTCCAGTAGTGTAATTTGGAAATTTAAATGTCTCTTGGCATACAGTCACAAATTTTTTATAACATAGCTTTCCACATACTTTTCTTTGTAGTTAGGAGCTTATGGAATTAATAATGTTATCTGATTATACTATTGGATATTTAGCACTTGAGCATGACACACTAGATAAATCCTGAGCTGAGCAGGGAACTTCTTAAACAAAACACCATTTGGGGTAGGGATTTTAGTACATGAGTTTGATTAGCACTAATTCTGTGGTTGTCTGTTCTTTCTACATATTCTCTGCTGACAGAGAAATATCAGGAAGTGGTCTTTTAAAAATGATGTTTATTTATTTCTTCTGCCACTTAGCATTAATTTTGCTGTAGCTTCCTTCCACTCATCCCAAGTGGAGAATGACCCAGCAACCAAGGGAGCAAACCTAAGCCTAACACATTGTCCTATGGAAATGAATTAAGTAAACTCAAAGCAGAACTGCACCGTTAGCTGGTTAAACTGATTTACATGTACACTCCTTTTTCTTCAGCTAGTTTCTTTATTTGGAAAGCCTCTCTAGAGAGCCATGGACAACTTGAATGAAAGCCAGACTTTTGAACTGATTGGTGTTATGTTCTGGAATCTCAAGAAAGATGGTAGAAGGTCTTGGAATCTCTGTTTTACATGGCGCTCTGTAGTCTCTCAGTTTTGCTTTATTCTCGTGGCGAGGCATGTCTTGAAAAAGCTGCACCTTATTCTTCAGCAAGTTTGGACTTAATTGAGATTGCTAACCTATCTGCAGAAAGCTCAAAACTACACATGTACTTACAGAACCTCAGTGACAACTCAAGGTTTTATTCAGTGGCATTGACCTCTTTTATTAAATCGGCTACTTGCCAAATATAAAGACAAAAAGCATCCTGGAAGCACAGGTACAAGTTAAGCCTTAGCACAGCAGGAGGGGAAAAGTTGCTCCTTTAGTTCTTTGCCACCTAGAATTGCAGTCTCCATATAACATAATCCTTTTGACAGTGTCTTATTGTCCTCAGCTTCTTTGTCCTTTCTTAGATATTTCTTCAACTATTTCATAACTCATCATTGCTGCTGCTGCTCGTTTTTACTTTTAGCAGTAGGACAACTTTTCATATGACAAGATAGGACTTGAACTCTAATAACTAACACAATACCTTGACATCAGATGATTGACTAGAAAATGAATGAAGCACTAGGAAAAGGCGAGATTTTAGGTTCTGTATGTTTTTGATTGTTATAAACTCTTTATCAGTGGAAGAAATAAATAGATTAAAATCCTGAGCAGCAATACTTAACATTTTCTTTAGAATATGGAAAGCTACAAGCATAAGTTCAAAACCATTCTATCACCTGGTTCATTTATCTGTATGTTTTATGTAATTTAAAGGCTCCTTAGTTAACTGTGGAGCTAACTAATCTGAAAGTTTCATGCAACTGTTGAATTGAAAGGAAGGAAGGATCCATGTCTAATCCCTTCAAATTCTTTAGCATTTTAGCAGTTAGGAAAAGTTTTCTTGATATGGTTCTCCATTTACAGTACAGTAAAGATTCATTAAACTGTTTCCGTATTTCAGAATGGTTATATCAAACTGATCCTTTTTTTCTTGTTCTTCCCCCAATTAGGTGCTGGAGTTGGTATGAAGGGTTTACTCAAGTTAAATTGTGTTTGATCCTGCTGAAATACATCTGCAGCTGACAATGAGAGAAGACAGAAACTGTCATGTAATGTCTCTCCCCAAAGTCATCATGGGTTTTGGATTTGTTTTGAGTATTTTTTTCTTTTCCTTTTCTTTTCTCTTTCATGACCTTTGGGACATTGGGACTACCCAGTGAACTCTCCACCATCAATGTAACTCTATGGACTTTGCTGCTGTTGGTGGTGTGGTTATCTAATTTTTGTGATAGGGAAAGAAATTCTTTTGAATAAAAATAAATAACAAAAAAATAATAAAAGTTTATTGAGCCACAGTTGAGCTGCGAAAGTCTTTGTCAAAGATGGCAACAGATAATCTTTTCAAGAAGTCACACACATGAACTATGAATAATTTGTAAAGTCCTTATTTCCCAACCTCTTTGGAATTCTGCATATCAACATAAATGCAAAGATAGATGGATTCCCTTGTAGGGAATGTAATGTTTATAGTAGGTGGGAAAATTAGTTAACTTTACCTTACATATTCATTCTCTGACCAGATTTATATCATCAGCAAATACCATACTTCAGTCCCTCTGGATCTGGCCATGGATCTAACATTTGACCAGTTGAGACCACATTCACACAGAAAGGGAATGGCTGGCTTAGTTGGTAGAGCATGTGACCAGGGTCGTGAGTTCAAGCCCCAAGTTGGGTGCAGAAATTATGTTAATTAATTAATTAATTAAAAAAAAAAAAACAGGAAGGGAATATCAGTCTGTGGCAGCTGTTGTCTTTGCCTTTGCAATGTTGCCTAGACATACTTTAAGCCCTAAATGTAGCCAAACCACCTTCAGTTTGTTAAATCGTAGCTATCAGATAGTCTTAGATATTAGTACCATCCTCAGCTGTCAACCCTGACTTTGAGCAGGGGTTAACAAACTTCTGGAAAGGGGGCCAGATAGCCTATTTTAGGCTTTGAAGATCATGTGGTGTCTGCTATAATTATGCATCTCTGCCATTGTAGCAGGAAAGTATCCACAGACGTAGCAGGAAAAGAATTTGAAGCCCAATTTCCCCAATTACCAAGCCATATAATATCTTACTTAGACTGTCTAGTTAATTTTATGTTGTTTTCAGTTTGTAAAAAGGAATAAATTAGTAGTTTGAGTAGCAGGTCAAGCAAAAGTATTGTGAAATGTGTGAGCACTTTTTAGAAATAGATAAAAACAGAATTATACCCCACACATATTTTATAAAAACAGATGCATGGAGAAGCTTGGTATGGACAAATACACGAATGGTAAGGGTAATTGGAATATCCCACCGTATCCCTCTACACTCAAAATTACTGGGTTCTCATTTCATTATCTGAAACCTTCGGGTCAAAAGCATTTTGGAATTTAGAACTTTTTGAATTTTAGAAAAGTAATAAAGTACATATACTGTATATTACATAACACCATCCAACAGAGTCTGGAGCAACACTCTGTTATCAAGTACATTAATATTTGTAGCAAAATGTATGAATGTTTACATTATATGAGATTAATAAGGGTTAAAAATAGTTTTGTATCAATTCAGACAGTTTTTCCCACCGAATGAGTTTGCCTCAAACTTAGGTGAAATTTTCAGTGTGCAGACCTTCACGACAATTATATCTTATTCATTTTGGGGAGTGAAGCACCTGATAAACTTTTGGACTCAATTTTGAAAGGAAAGGTCACTATCATTCAAAAATTACACCTGTCAACCAGAACAATGTTAGGCATCCTTCATTTCTAAGATGAATGAATGACCTTTTGCAAAGATACAGGAAGAATATTCAAATATAGATTCTTTACTTAAAGAACTTAAGCAGATATGTTCAGAAAATCATCGAAATGGGAAGCAAAGAATTAACGCCTCTTTTAATGCATTTAAATAAAAGATTACCATGGTTTTTAATTTGGTCTGACTTTTTTTTTTATGTTTTATTTCAAGCTATTGTAAGGTCATGTTAATTTCCATATGTATGGAAGGATACAGTAGGTTACCTTTATTAGTTATGAAAGGGACTCAACTTTTAAATAAATTATTTATTTATTTGTTATTTATTTATTTTATATTTATTTATTTCAAGCTATTGTAAGGTCATGTTAATTTCCATATGTGTGGAAGGATACAGTAAGTTACCTTTATTAGTTATCAAAGGGACTCAACTTTTAAATAAATTATTATTTTTAAAAGGCAGTGCTTTACTTAAATTTGTGTTTTTAACTTTTTCTTACAAATAGTGAGAAATCATTTTTAAATTTGAATCTTTGAAAGATTTCAGCATCAAACTATATCACTGTTCCTTGGAAGAGTAACACAATAGTTAAATAAAAATTAACAATAATGTACATTTTAACCCCAGAAGAACTTCTAACTCAAAAATATGGGTCTTCATGTTTTAACCTAATCTTTATTTCAGTGGATTTGCAGGGGTTTCTTAGACATGGTTGAATTTATTCTCAGGCACACAACTTCTACTTAAGACACATTAAAGATTGAAGAACTTTGTAAAATTCTTCTGAGAAAATTTAGTTAATAGACATCAAAAAATTTGTGGTACTGAGCCACAACTTCAGAAAGATGAGCGTGGCTGGACCATTAAGCAAGGAAGAGATGAGCACAGTGTAAGTTTGAGGGCGTAGGGGAAGCCAGCAGATGTGCAGGGCCTTCTAGGGTATGGTTGAGAATTTGAATTTTGTTATAGAAGCAGTTAATAGGAAGGCTTAAGTGGAATGACATACTTTGCTTTATGGTGAAAGGTTAGATAAGAACAAGAGTGCTATTAGAAAGGTGGTGAGTCAGGAGTTAATGGTGGCTTCAACTGAAGTGGTAGCATGATCCAACCTAAAAACCTTTTCATCTTGATGGAGTTTGCCATAGTTTTAATTCCTGTATCTTGGAAGATTCTTGATTAAAGTCATTTTCTCACAGTAATTTGTGGCAATAAAGACTACAACTCAGCAAATCTTAAACCACAAGTGTGGCTCTTGAGAACCTCATGGCTAGAAATGCTATCTTGGGAACCCCACTTCTCCAGTCTCAGAACTAGAAGATACTTAGGCTTGGTTCTGAATATAGAAGTATTGGCAATTGACCTGAGTGTAATTACTCAAATGTAACAGGGATTTATAGGAAAAGTCTGCTTACTTAGAAATGAGACTTAAGGCAGTGCTAACTTAGATGCCGAGCCTGTTGTTACATGACATTAAATACAATAGTAGCACCTTATAGTTCCTCCCAGAGTGGATAGTTACCAACCTCTCTGTGGCTTCTGGTTTATGTGGGGCACTCTTGGGTTTTTGGACTGAAGAGAAAAACCATAGTGATTGTTCTAGAAGTACTTGTTGAGATCCTGCTTTGTGTAAGTGAGGCACTACATACTAGGCATATAAAATAAAATATGATCCCTCATCTCAAAAAGCTTATTGTCCAGTGGGAGAAACAGATATGTAGACAGTGTATAAGTACCATAGTAGGTATAAATTTTAGAGATATATAGTAACAACATAACCTGAATGGTGGGAGACTAAGGGCTGGGAGTAGGAGTGGTTATCAGGAATTATTTTCCTGGTGGAAGTAACAGTTGAATCCCGAAGAGCAAGTAAAGAGTTCAAGCTTACTCTTAAGAGTAAGAGGCAAAGGAACATTCCAGACCAAGGGAAGCCAAGAAATTGGTCCAACTAGTGACCAAAGCTGGGACAATTTGAGTAACAAAATAAACTATTATTGGAGTATAGATTATAATTCAAAATTAAATATTCATGAGTACTTACTGATGTAAATGATTGAATAAACAAAGGGAGAGAAGGAGAAATTTCCCATGCAGAATTCCCAATTGTGTAAGGGGATAGAATATAATGCCCCACTCCTTAAAAAAAAAAAAGGACCTACCGTACTCTTTGAAAGCAAGTCAATATGGACAGCTTAGGTCTTTTTTTAAAAAGCTTTTATTTAAATTCTAGGTAGTTACCATGCAGTGTAGTAATAGTTTCAGGTACACAATATAGTGAGTCGATTCTATACTCAGTGCTCATCATAAGTGCATCTTAATCCCCTTCACCTATTTCACCCATTTCCCCCGTCCACCTGCCCTTTGGTAACCATCAGTTCGTTCCGTATAGCTAAGAGTACAGTGGGGCACATGGGAGGCTTAGTGGGTTAAGCAGCTGACTCTTGGCTTTAGCTCAGATCATGATCTCAGGGTTGTGAGGTCGAAGCCCCACGTCGGCAGGCCCTGTATTCAGTGGGGTATCTGCTTGAGGATTCTCTCTTTCCCTCTGCCCCTTCCCCCCACACTCCCTCTAAAATAAATATTTTTTTTTAAATGTACAGTATGGAAAGAAGTAACTGAACAATGGAGAAACCTGACAATCACTACCTTACCCATGTGATCAGCGTCAACCTCATATGTGGCACTACAAGGATTCTTTCTTTTACCTGAGATCTTTACAGTTTCTCAATGTGAGGAGAAATCTTTTCATTTGTATATGGTTTTAATTTGTTCTCAGTTTTCTGTGAGTCATGTGTCCTTGATCAGTTTGAGAAGCAAACTCCCTAGTACCCAAGTTCTGGGCCAGATCTTGGACTGAACTGGGTAGGGATTCTCATGAATTCTAAGTTAAAGTTCCAAAATGGGGGCAGTCTAGGTTAACCAATAATTTTTTTAAAGATTCTATTTATTCTAAGTAAACTCTACACCCTACATGGGGCTTGAACTCACAACCCCAAGATCAAGAGTCTCATGCTCTGCTGACCAGAGCCAAACACATGCCCCCAGGTTAACCAGTTATTGTGCAAAATATTTTCCATGTCCCTGAAGATGATTTTAAGGATTTTCTTATATGCACTGCTTTTGTCCTATGTTGAGTGCTAATCTGTGATCAGAGGTTAGGAGCCCTTTGGAAGAACCACATGAAAAAATAGTCTTCAGCAATTTCAAGAGAAAGAACCAAAGCAGATACAAGTGACACTCCATATTCACCTTTAGTTTTATAGCTCCAAAAGAGTGTTTTATTTTAGAAACTTTTCTGCATGAGCTTCAGTGGAATGTCAGCCTAATAATTATGTTGACTCCACTGGTAGTGTCCTCAGCTAGTGGTCTATGACAGTTATGGGCTGTTGCTCAGAAGGGATGAGTAAGGGCATTGAGACACTTGGATATGGTGGCTGTATTCATTCAACAAAAATTTGAGTGCCTATTTTGAAACAGTATCTTCTAGGCTAAGGGGCAGCAGCCTTTTTCTGTGAAGGGCCAGATAGGCTTTATGAGCTATATAGTCTCTGTCACAACTAATGTGGGAAACAAAGGTAGAAGAAAAATTACAAAATTTCCTTACTACCTACAGCCCATTGACAAGTCCTTGAAACAGAGTGACGTTCCTCTAGGGACTCAACTGCCTTGATGTTAATACTTTGCGAAGGGCAAAAGACAATCCTAGCCCAACCGCCCACCCCCAGCCCCAGGATCCTGTAAGTCTAATTTAACATATAAAAATTCCTTTAAAGGGGCACCTGGGTGGTTCAGTGGGTTAAGCTTCTGCCTTCGGCTCAGGTCAATGATCTCAGGGTCCTGGGATTGAGCCCTGCATCGGGCTCTCTGCTCAGCGGGGACTCTGCTTCCCGCTCCCCCTCTGCCTGCCTCTGCCTACTTGTGATCTTTCTCTCTCTCTTAAATAAATAAAATCTTAAATAAAAAAAAAAATTCCTTTAGAAATTTCCTTTATCTCTAAACCCTCCAAGATACGTGTTGGCAATCATCCCCCAAGCATATAGCCCACGATACACATCTGAAGGATCTCATAAGTAAGGTTTTATTAGACAGTAATAAATGACTTTTTCCCAACAATAGCTAGCCCTCTCAAGGTCCTGGAAAATTTCCAAAATTCCTTAGAGACTTATGCTATCCCTAACCCCCTCCCAACTTGGAAGTATATAATGAGCCACTCCTCATGACCCCAGTGAAGTTCTTTCT